GCAGGAATGACACGGCCGCTGAGGACAGACTTCAGGAGAGGAAGGCTGCCTCGCCAGCTTGGGAAACAGAAAGATTTCTCAACAAACAGACTTGATGGCTCGGCTCCTGAGGGGGTGGGAACGGGGAGGCAGGGGAGCTTCAGCAGGCCAGAACAAAGCCAATTGCTATTTATCTCAGCCTGAAGAAAGCTGGGAACATTTTAAAACTAAACAGGCAGTTATGACTCAGCTTCTCCTACTAAGAGTTTCCTGATAGCCACAAAGACTTGTTTTTTTATTTAAACCCGAAATGGCTCAAATGAGTGGAAAGCTTCTGTGCTGCGCTTTGAGGCACAGATCTTTCTACGCAACCCTTGCAGGTAGCATTCAGATTACTCACGCTCCCTCTCCAAAGTGGTTTATATTTTCTCTGAGCTCAATCGATATTCTCTGGATGAGGTATGTGAAGCACATGAATAAGAACGTCAAACTGTTGCTAACGTGCCATTTCTTTTCTTCCAACTACAAATGTTCCCAGAAAAGGCTTTTTGTTAAAAGAGAAGTGATTCTTTTTAAGTGCTCCTTTAAAATGGAGGTACAGTTTAGATCTCTGTGATTCATTTCTTATAATGAATGTGCTGAACTAATGTTGCCAATCATTTATTAATTGTTTGCAAACAGATGGAAAATTGCTTGAGTTTATGCCTAAGTATTCACTGACTAATAGCTGAAAAAAGGACTCACTGATCTTTGCAAACTTGTGAACTTCACACCTGAACTATTCTGACTGACCTGCATATGGAAGCAGAAACATCCGTATCACAGCAGAAACGTAATCTCTGAACTCTCTGGCCAACTAGCAGAAAGTCTATTTCTGCTTTTATATGGATGAGGTAAGAATCAGTTCTGTTGTGCTTTTTTGAAAATATAGATGCTAGATGATTTTAACAAAATATTTACAGAAATACTTAAGAGATCAAAACAAATGTTCCTGCCTTTAAACTCATTTTCTACATCTACGGAACACTAAAATGAGAAAAATTTGAATAATGACAGAAAAACTTTTTGAAATGTTTAAAAATGTTGTATGTGAAATACTTTATTAAGATATTGAAATAGGAAAAGTTTAAATGATGATGTAATCATCTCAGCTAATTAAACTTCTTCCATCTCTGGCCTCACCATTTAATGAATACAAACCTTCTCCCCATGTTTACATTTGTCTGCAAACATCAGATTAGAGTTTGCTTCTATTCAAATAAACGACATTTGTGCTGTTTATGGCAACAAAGTAAAAAAGATTTGGTCTTCAGGGATAAATACAAATGAGGAAGCAGAACCTATAAATTGCTGCATGACTTCAGCTCTCACTGAAATAATAGCGACTAAGCTGAAACAATTCTGTTCCTAATGAAACATCTTTAAAAGCTTTTCTCAGCACAGAAATACATTGTCTTGCTGTATGTGGACAGCCATACAGAGAGCTGCACTGTGGAAAAGTTTCTTGCAGCTGAACTGCATACAGCATATGCTCAGTTTGTGCAGACCTCCTTGCAGTCATTTTGGAAACTTCAGCCCTGCAGTTAAACTGAGGAAAAAAAAGGGCGGGGAGATACTCTTTTAGTAGCGTAAAGGTCCTGGAATTCCCTTGAAAAATGCTTAAAACAACTACCTAACCTGGTGTTAGTTGCTAGGAAATCAGGCAACAAATAGAAAGCTCAGGAAACATATTTGGTGTCTTTGCTTTCCTCTGGCTAAAATCTAAGTAGTCACTGAAGATTGTGCAAGGCGTGATTTATAGATGTCTTTCCATATTACTGCCTGTCTGGTTAGCAGATGGTATTCATTAACCAAAGAAGAATCCCTATTCTCATGAATAATTATAGCTGAATAGAGAAGTAGTAATCTGTAGCAACCTCTATTATTTGCAAGGTTTTCAGATTTATTCATGGTTATGTTTTAGCCACATGCTAGAAAAATCCCTTCCATAAAGTTTCAAGTGAACTGGCAGCATTCCTGTAAAATCAGAGTTAGGGAAATGAAAGGATTCAGAGTTGTTCCATTTGTTGTGCTCATGGTGAAGTATTTCAGTAAACATTAACTGACTAGCTGCAAGGAGCATGTAGTGTGAACATTTGCCTGCATTACACTAATACTTGCATGAAGTATAACTTGGATTTGATTCTGAAATCTTTTGCTCTTTTGAGTAGGTTTAGTTCATAGAATATTATCCAATGGAGCAAGTGGGATAATTTTTGTGATGAGAGTTTATGCAAGAGAGTAAAAATTCAAGTGAGAAACTGTGTTTTTTTCTTCTTTCTGATTTGTTAATCATTTCTGTAGCTTTGATTATTATTGGTTTATCAGTCTCCTGAAGTCTGGTATTTTCTTCAACATGTTCCAATCTGAAATCAGTAAGAGGGATAATAAATAAAGATAGACTACTGGGACCCAGACACCTAAAGGCAAATTTAGGCATTTAAACAGGAGCTTACTGAATGGCCACAGTTCCCATATCAGCTGCCAGTGTTAGTCTGGGGGTGGGGGGAGGTCCAGCTTGCTGAAGAAACAGAAATTAATTCATCCTTACCTCTCATAGAGAACATATCTCTGTTTTTAACAGCCAGACTGCAATACAAAAAGGCAGTTCTGAACATGGTAGCACCCACAACTCAAAACAACTGCTCGGGATTTCAAAAGATCAGACCCTGTGCATCCTTAGACTTTATGTGACAGAAAAACACTGAAAAGGAATAGTCATTTTTGAAAACTGAACACATGGCAATTTGTCAAAGGCTGCACAAGAAATCAATGACAGAGTTATGAGTCAGGCTTAAGAGATCTGGGCCTCAGCTCCCTCATTGACCTGCAATGCAATATTCTCTCCAGCAATCCTAACGGATGCCTGGCAAATGTCTGCAGTGAATGGCTTCTGCATCCTAATCTAATCTCTGTTTCTGTTATGCTTCCCTGAAAAACTAACAAACTATTTCACGTTTTACCTGACACACATACTGAAAACCCCAGTCTTAGTTATTGTATGCCTTTTAATAGTTTTCATCTTCTGAAAATACAGACCCAGAGTAATGAAAACTTCTCATGAATCAAGTGGCTTTTTTCACACCTTGTCCATCAATCATTTCTTAGGGAAATCCAATAGAAAAAAGATGATGGTGAAGGAAAAGAGCAATACAATACTTTGGGGCCACATAATTATTTTCTCAATAGTGTGCTTTGCTTCTTTTTTAAAGGGGCAATTAATGTGTCACAGAAAACAGAATACCAGGCACAAATTTTGACTATGCTGAGAAGAGCCAGTTGAATTTATAAGATCTACTGACAATCAAGCAGCCTAATGAGTAAGCTTCCAATGAAATGCAGAAGTATATATAAAGCAGTCAGCTCCTACATGTACATTGCTTAATAAGGTAAGTGACGGGTCTAGGAAATATGTGTCTTCTCAGATAGTGACAGTTGTCACTGGTGTAATTTTGCACTGAGAGACCTTTGGCCTTTTGGCCTTCTGATTTTTTTTTTTTTTTTTTTTTAAGGAAAGCAATTCAATTGGCATGCCATCTTTGTGACATCCAGACTGTTACCAAGAGTTTGGTCTTTCTCAAAGGGCCAAAATATGCCCCAAAATATATCTGCCTGTATTAAGCTTCCTAATAAACAGCAGAAGTGGAATGAGCACTTTGCAAATCCAAGCTTTCGTCTGGTGAATAAGCCTCTTGAGGCCTTGGCTACAGAAGAAAACAGTGATTTAGCCAAATCAATTCTAAATCCAGCCTCATCAATGAAAGCCCCTTAGATGAACACTGTTATTTCAGAACCAAAACCACTTTGAAATTGAGTTCTTTGCACTACATCTTTCCATCCAAGTTAAAATTATATAGGACGCTTTTAAGCATAAATAACAGCATTCTCCTAAGATCCGTTACTTATTCTGCCTTTGGGAAAGCCTAAACCCTGGGTTTCCTTCAACAACGCAGATTAGCAACTCAGCAACTGAAAAGCAGTGGCTCAGCAACTAGAAAGATCAGATGCAAATGTTTCATATCAAAACACTTCAATTTTGTGTTGTATGTGGCAGCAGCAGCTCTTCACACCAGTTATCAACAAGGTATGCTTTTGGCTTTTTGTAATTGCCTCATAACCGCAAGCAAAGCTGCTGGAAACAGTGTCTGAAATGAACTGTATCAGGCACATGGCGGCAAATGTAAGTGCTGCTCTCTTTTACCAGCAAAGCATGTGAATGTTCTTGATATGTATCTCATAGATGCTTCACAACTGCCAGTGAAGGAGCACATGGACAGCCTGAGAAATAGTTCACAGCAGCTTGAACTCTAGAGCACACATTTGTCACTTGGGCAGAAGTAAAACCTCTTCACTCAGCAGTATATATAGCCTTGTTATTTTATTGTCAGGTGAGATGTTACCAGATCCAGGTTTAGATTCTCTTAGGGATTTGCCCTCAGGGAAGAGGGCACCTGAATGCTTCACTCTGAAATACCCAACTCAAAGCTGCATCTCCTGATGAGTTCCCGTAGACTAAGGGACTTTCTCCACTGAGGGTTTTTTTTGTGCATTTGAAAGATTTTCAGAAGAGAGAAGCAACTATAGCACCTCGACCACAGGAACATATCTAATTTTATCCAGTCTAGGGCAATGGTATATGCCCAGATAACATAGCCACCAAGGGTAAGAGGAATACCCATATTTGTGCATGACATCAATTGAGAAAAAAAGCAAGTGCCTGCAATGAACAAAAAGAAGACTGTGGTGAGCTCTGGAGGAACTTGCACTCATATTACAGGCTGTCAGGAGTTGCAGCTGTGACGTTCAAAGCCAGCAATGACATTCCCTAGGAGCCAGCCCTATCTGAACCCACAGATCCTCCTCTGGCGCTCAGACACAGCCCCATATTAGTAGTCTGGGCCCTGTGCAGCATTAGGCTGCAGTTTAGTGTCCAGGAACTAACAGAGGGGCAGTGCTGACACAAAAGTGAATGTGTCAGTGCAAAAAAAGAGTGCAGAAGAGTGGAAGAAGGCTGGAGAATCGGGGAAATGCTTGTGGGAGGGACGTGTAGGGAAAGCGCAAGAGTGCTTACCATGCAGGCAGATTCTAGAAAGCTTTGCATGCTTTAGAAAAGCAAGTTAAACCCAGTACCATGGCTACCGTTTGGAGCTGATGTCATCTGGCTGCGCATAAAAGCCTCCACTACTTCTTCTTTTGTGCAGTCCTAGAATGACATCACCTCGTAGCACAAGAACGTACCTTTGTGCTGCAGCACTTTCCCTGCTGGCCCCTGCCACACATCTCACTCCTCCCGCATATGTCCCTCCTTTGCCCAGAAACGCTCCTTGACCTCTGCTGAATGCACAACACCTCTGTCTAGTCTACGAGAGCCCTTTGGGAGCCCGCAAACCCCAGCAGTCTGTGGTAGCGCAGAGGAGCTCCTATTCAAACAATGTCTAGCATGCCGTATACTTCAGCAACCCACAGTGGGGCCTCTGCAGCCGATTTCAGCTGCTTTACAATGCTGTCAAAGCTGAATGGTGTGAACTGATTAGACAGACGGGGCAACTGTGGCGATTTAATTATTTTCAATGTTGGATCCTCTTTGATGGGATGTACAATGGCACATGAATTAATTTTTTTACAGTCTAATATTGCTGTTAAATAAGCAGAGTGAAAAAGTTGCATTTGTAGCGTCACTTATGAAGAAATTGCGAACATAGTTCACAGTTGTGCAGTCATTAACAGATTTGTTTATAATTGGCTTGCATGCTTGCCTATTTAATGAGGCCCGTGACAGTCTTCATGACATGCAAGAACAAGAGAAAAAAAATCCAAAGCACATCCTGGTCAATGTTATTTCATACAGAGAAGGAGGGTGGGGGGCAGGTTGAATGCACTACCCAAGAAAACAAGCACCATTAAATAAATCTAGAGAGAAGCCTGCACAGAAGATGCAAGTCTATAGGAACGGGGCAAACTGAGGGCTGAGCGTTTCCCATTAGAAAGCCCAAGTCACCCATGGTTCCCATGTAATAGCATATATCTCCAGTACAGAAACTTTGCAGATGCCCCTCATCCCTGTGTCTATTCCTGCAAATGAAAGCATATTTCACTAACAGCTGTCAGTCTCTGAGCAGATGATCTTCAAAAGTGTGCATGTGCAGAAACATCCACTGGGAAAGTATTTGAGGAATTATGAGGAAATACAGTGGTTTTAGAGCTGTAATGGGTTATTTCTACTTAGCTGACATAGGGTGGCATAAGCTGGGACTCCATTATACATACAGGGAAGAAGGAAACATACCTTCCCAGAGGAAACCTGGGTAACTTACCATTAACATGCCACAGCATCTGGAACCCACTTCTAGCATTCAGTCCGTCAGAATAAAACACCACATGAAGGCTAGTCCCTGTAGTGCTCCCTGCCAGTGGAAGAGACTGTCCACAGAAAGTGCCTATCAGGTTGGATCGTACATCAGGCCCATCATAGAGCTGAAATGAAACAAAAGATATCCCAGTGAGTAAAATGCAACTCCCCAATTCTTAATGTTTTGTACAGGATGTCAAAGAAAAAGCTGTGAGAATTCTCGCACTGGCCACCTTTGCACAGCAATATGAGCTCTGGGGAGTGTGGAAAGATTTGGATGAAATTATGAGCAAATATAACGGCAATATGTCTTTAAACCTGGCTGCACACTGTGCACAGTAGGAAGGTTTTGCTGTTTCTGTTTTGGTGTGTATTGGGTGTTGCTGGGGAAGAAGATAAAGGGCAAATAGCAATGAAACAGAAAGAAAAAGGGGATGTCACAGATCTGATTTGACTGTGTATCTAATGTGCTCAGTGCCTCCAAACCCCTTGGTGACAACTCTGTTTACATCTTCATTTCTTTAAGACTGCAGTCAGGTGATTTCAGGACTGGCTGAACTTGTGATGGAGAAAACCAAGCAGTCAGCATCACCAGGGCCTCCCAGAGTAGTGAGGACAAACTGAAAACCAAAAGCAAAGTAAATCCTCAAAAACCACAAGGCAAACTTCACATGTGTTTAGTGTTTATTTATTGTTTCATGATCTTATGCTAGTGTCCTGCTTTGGAGGAGAAGTGGACTGAGTCATGCTTTCTGAACTTTTGTACTTAGAAACACTTTATTTTTGATCTCCTAGTCACATTCTACATGATACTATTTTGACAGTCAAGTGTGTTGGCAGAGTAGACTTGGTAGTGTAGGTTAATGGTTGGACTGGATGATCTTAAAGGTCTTTTCCAACCTAAACGATTCTATGATTCTATGTGGCCAGCCTGAAAATCTTTCTGTTCCCAAACATAGATTAGAAATCCTCCATCCTACTCTTAAAACATCACCACTCAGAAAAACCTAAACAAACAAACAAACAAACCAAACCAAAACAAAAAAAAAACCCCACCAAACCCCAAACAAATAAAATGCTAAGGAAATATTCCTGTATTTAAATCTTGAAATCTGAAATTAGTCATATACTCACATTTAAGTGAAAACACTTAACATATGTTTTGATGGGATGATAATGGATGCTTAGAGCTTTAAATACATTTTAAATTAGTTGTCTCCAAAGAGGTTTAAAAGGTCTTTCAAATCCTAGTTTTGTGACTTTTTTCACATCCAGCAAATCACACTGAATATGCATCTGTGTTCCTCACTAAATATTCCAATGCTCAGTGTCCTTTTTGGGGGATGAGGTGTATAATTTTTGCAAAACTGGTAAAAATGAGACATTTTAGCTAAATTGCCTTTGACTTATGATACCAGATTGCCAGTTGTTGTCAAGTTGGGAGTTGCTTTATTATTTCTAGTTTTGTTACTATGGTTCTTAAAGTTTAGAAAAACAGCAACCCTTGTGCTTTTTTATCACTTTGCCACAGTTCATCTGATCTTCTGTCTCACAGAGCACATCTTCCTAACACAACCCAGCAAATTACTGGCACAGAAACCATGCCTGAACATTCTCACTGTGAATTTTTGGCATGCTTTCTTTCAGAGTTTCAGCAAAAACTTTTCTCTGTTCTGAAACCATCACTGTAACGTTCTTGCCGTGCAAAGAATCAAATCTGTGATCTCTAGAAAAACAGCCAAGGGTTTATTTATCTTTGTTCTCCATTCAAACCTCTTTTCCAAGTATCTCTGATTTCACTAAGAAGTCTGCTACACTCAACACCCATAGTATGGAAGTACGATATTACAGTAAATTTGATTAACCGTGCTAGCTACTAATTTTTGCACAGATTTTCTAGCAGACTCACATATTGGAATGAGTAATTAAACCCTCAGCTTTTCTGTTCAAGATGTTGGTCTTGCAGAACCTTCAGAAATCTTGTTGTTGATTTAAGACATAGTTGGGGCCAAGAAATCTACTCAAATGGTTTTAAATCCTCAAGCAGACAGTCTAGTTTGAATGTCTTTTTTTTAAATAAAAAAGAAACTGGGTGTAGTTCAGCCAGAAGTTAGGGGCAAATTGCAGGAATAAATCTATGATAATATTCCAAGGCTTATTTTATAGCTGGTGACCCTGAATCTTCTTGGTTTTCAATCCTCTAAAGCAATGAAAGGCTCAGAGCATGAGAGTGTATTGGAACTTGAGAACTATCACTCCATTTTGTATGATTTCTCTTGGTGAAATCAGAAAAGCTTGAAAGTTTCTAATTGCAGACCCATTGCTGGTAGTTCTTGCAAAGCCTTGATCAGATGTGTTTGATAATAGATATGAAATTGTCATAAAGATTAGATGTTAAGAAGCTGAACATCCATCTGTATTCTTTCCAAATGTAAAGCTTGAAGGACCACCTGGCAGACAGATGAGCTGTCCCATGCTCAGCGTTACAGTTATGACTTTCCTCCAAGCCAGACTGAGAGCTTTACACATTATTTTATGGCTTAAGTTCAACAAAATGAAATAAAGTCAGATCCAATTAGATTTTTTAATAGTATTACTTCCTTTGACAGCTTTGTGGTATATACTACTCATATTTCTGTGGCTTCAAGCCATGGAAATTTTACACCAGAAAAAATACGAATGGGCAATGAATTAATGAAATGAATCAATGTGGAGAGCGTGAATCTATGCTCTGAATAGAAGCAAAAACTATGTTAAGATATGTATTCAATGATCAGTCATTAGCCTTAGTGATTACAAATGAAAAACCATTCTAAAGATCTATGGACTAAGTCATACCCAGAAACTTTCAAATCCAAAGAACCCAACCTTCGTGAGTCTCCTGCAACTTTGATTCATCGAGGGAGTGTTATTTTTATCTAAGACAGCAAATGTCACATTTCTATGTAATTTCCCCTGAAAACAGTCCATCAGTTTTTTGAGACACAAAGAACGGTTACCATGGCAATCCCTTCATGCCGCGCTGCCCCGTGGGTCTGGGTTCAGAGCAGAGCTTCACAGGAAATTCAAGCGCCTGGCCAGCTGTAACTCATTGAGAGAGGCAGAGCGCGACTGCTAGAATTACAGCGGGGTTTTTTGAGCTGTCTTTCACTTCTAAATGAAGGGAACAGCTGCATGTTTTCACAGGGCATTTTGAACTTCTCAACCACATTTTGCTCTCACACAAATATGGGCAAGTGAAACTGAAGCTGAACGCAGATCTCATGAGACACAATTTCTCTTCTGATCTCTGAGACACTGTGTCTTGTCTAAGGGCCTGCTTTGTCAGCTGTGCTATCCTAAACTGCTGCAAATCGAGGGAAGGTTCCTCCCCAGGCTATATGAGGCAAGGTGCTCCCTCGGTCTGTGCAAGACAACTGCATTTTGGTGCAGTTTATTAGCCACTCCAATACCATACTTACTCTAGGAACTGGGGATTGGGCTCCCTCCTAGCTACTCATTGGGAAAAAAGTGTTTGCTCCCTTTCTGTGTAGATATTTGGTTTGTAATTTATTTATTTGTTCAGACCTTTTTAGCCTCTATCAGAATATCCAAGGGCTTCGTAATGATTTTGGCAGACAATCCAACAGGCAAAACATGCAAAGAGCTGCAACACATGTTCAGATCCTTAGCCCCCCCTCTTTAACTGAAGCAAATGCCCAGCAGCACCCGTAGTGCTCCATTTCATCAGCCTGCACCCCATCACCAGGCCCAGGCAGGGATGCAGTACATTCAGACAAATTATTAGGCATCGGCTCAATAACTTGTTACAAGAAACTCCTTATCAGGCTGCCCAGGAGCAAGCGTATAGGCTGACACAGAAGTAAAAAAGGGGAGGTACTAGCTCTCTAAGGGATTAATCAAGCTGTGGGACTGCCCTGCAGCAAAGTGGCAGCTGAAAACCATCTGCTGTACATTGGAGTGTGGCTGGGACAGCAAGACCAGCCTAGGCTGCAGGAAGGGTTCGGCTTGGGTAACTCTCCCAGAGGAGACACCATGGTCACCAGTATTACATTTGGCTTTTCTGACTCTTCAGCCTGGAAATATATCGCTGACACCAGTAAGGATGCCCTGGAGGCCACAGCGGGTCACCTCTCTTTGGAGGAGCAAAGCAAAGCAGCATGACCTGTGTCGCAAAGCAGCTCATTGCCAGAACTGGAGCAAGGGCTCAAGGACAGAGCTGGTTGGAGTTTCTGCTGCGTGGAAAGAAGTAAAGATCTCAACCAAATGGGAGGAAAGAAACTTTCAATATGTTCTATTTGGGCATACTCGAAGCAGGGACATTTTCTAGCTGAGCACCTTGTCAAGCTTATTCCTTCTTGCAAAGTAAGACTGGCAGGACCCTTCCAGACAGGTAGTGGGACTCCATCTGTTCAGTTTTCCTGGCAGGAAACTGATCTTTTTTTTAGGGCAAAATTTCAAAATTTTCTCTTGGAGAACTTTATTTCTGTGAAAAGGCACATTTTTTTCATCAGGAAAATCATTATAAAGGAAAACTCCCAGCCTAACCTGCTCTGGAAAAAAAGCTGCTTAAATACATTAGTTAGGCAAAACACATAGTCTCCATCTAGAGATGATGGAGTCTTCAAAGACAAACTTTAAGTTTCATAGAGGGGAAAAACTGTCCTATGAATACTGACAGTTCTCATTTTTATGGTACTATAAATAATTCTATTATTGGATGTCATTAATTCATTATAAAATTATTAGTAATTATATCAATAATTGTCTCAATTTGAGTCTTGAAACAAGTTGTTTTCAGTCTGAAGGCCTTTTTACAGCAACCGGCAGCAACAGCCCTGGGCTGTATTTGCAGAACTCAGGAAAGGAGGTTGCGCTTTGGATCAGACCAGCATAGCCGGGAATGCCCCACCCATTGGCGGAGCCTCTAGGACATCCTTGAAGAGCTATTCTGACACACACAAGTATCCCTTTCCTCTTAGGAGTGGGAAATCTGATGTGGGGTTGTTTTAACTGATCTAAACACTAGAGGCAGTGATTACAGGTATCTGAGCAGCTCTTCCTGAATGGGTCGTTTATTGAAAAGGAAATTCTGACGGCATCGCAACAAATACGTTACCAGAAA